CTGTGTGTCTGTTACGGAGTGCTTGTCACGTTTGCCCGACAGTGGCCTGGTGCGGGAGGCACCGTTGTCATGATCTGCACTTTGCAGATGAAGAAACTGAGGTCCAAAGAGGATACCCAAGGAGGTGATAGAGCTGAGACTGAGAACCAGGTCTTGCCACCACCAGCACAAGGGTTCAAGTAGCACGTTCTTTTCATAAGTGGAAAAGAAGCCCAGGAGTGCAGACAGACAGACACTGGGGGCCCTGGGCTCAGAGGAGGCGGGGCGGGCTGGCAGCCTGGGAAGGCTTTAGAGAAAGCTCGGGCCTGGGCCGGGCGCTGGGGCCTGGGCCGGGGCGCTGGGGCGAGGCACAGGGATTTGGCAAACAGGTCACGTGGGAGATGAAGGGAGCGGACCTGAGGCCAGAGGCTGGGGACCAGGGTGAGTCAGGGACCCGGAGCCAGCCAGACTGGAATCAGAACCCCAACTTGCCGCTTCTACCGTGTGACCCCTGCCCCCACCTCCACCCCAGCTTGTGATCTTTCAGCAGAAATAGTATCCCTGCCTGGGCCATGGTAGGTGCTTAATAAATACCTGTTCAAAACAAAGGGCTGCCGATGCTTTGTGAGATGGACCGACCCCTTTGTTCCCTGAGAGCGGCATGGAGGATGGTCCAGCTGGGCCCCAAGCTCAGCTGTGTGACCTCAGGCAAGTCCCCTCCCCTGCCCTGTTGCCCCACCCAATAACCAGGAGTTGCATAAAGGCCCTACAGGCTGCCAGGCTGCCTTGTCCCCTAATGTGAGCTTCTGCCCCCTCCCTCCTGCCCCCTGGGGGCTGAGTGTGCACCGAGCCTGCCGGGGTCACCCCGGCTCCTGCCCCCGCTGGGGCTGGAGGCCACCTGAGGTGCTGCCCCATCTCCGTGCGTGCGTGCGCGCCAGGGAGCCTTGCCCGGGTTGCTGGACCCACTGGGGCTGCTGCCACTCTGTCGGCTTTTCTTTCACAGAAGAGGAGGAGGCATTCAGTGTCACACAATCAGAGGGAAAACATAAGAGGTGACAGAGCAGGGTCTTCCCCCTGGACCCCTGGCAGGCAGGTCTCCACCCCCCTTAGCTCCTCAGGAAGGGGCAGGATAGCAGCGGTACCAGTGAGCTGCCAGCCCTGCTGGTCACCGTCACCGTCTCCCTGAGGCCCCAGTGCCCTTGGCCAGCTGCTGGCTCACCAGGCCACATCCCTGCTCTCTGCCTCAGTTTCCCTAGTGTCCAGTGAGGGTGGACTGGGAGCTTCAGATTTTGGACATTCACAACCCAGTATAAAAGTTCTTTAATCGGTAACCGGCGCAGCACGGTCAGTCCTTCCCTTCGCCGGGAAAGGACATTCCGTTTGTGAAAAGCAGCCAGCGCGTCCCATCCCGTCATTCCCCAGAGAAACAGGAGTCACCACGGAAGGAGTCCACCGAGGGACAGTGCCTGCAGGGAGAACCCGGCCAGGAAGGGGGAGGACTCGCGCGAGGTCCCCCGCAAGGCTGTGACAGGGACCCGCCTCGCAGGCCTGCCCCTTCCTGGCCAGCGGGTTAGTCCAGCTCCCTGCCTCCCTGAAGAGTGCAGCGAGCTGCAGGCCCCTAAGAGCCCGACGCCGCCCCCCTCAGTAAGGCCTCCCTCAGAAGAGGGTGGCGCCCACCTGCGCGCGCCCCTCTTCTGCCGCCTGTCCCCCTGCTCTTTGGCTCTTTTGTCTCTCTCTCTCTCAAAATCTATTTTAAATATTTTTTAAAAGAAAAGAAGCCCTGCCCTCTCCCTGTGGTCACCCAGAGGCACAAGGCCCCGCTTCGAACTTGTCACTTTCTGGTCGGCACGGTGCGGTCAGCCCACACGCCGCAGGCGGGCCTCTCGTTTCTGCCCGGAGTGGTGACAGGTGTTGGCTTATTTGAGCAGGTCCCTGAGACCAGGGGCTTAGGGGGACGGGCCACACAGGCTCCTCCGAGGTGGAGGTGCTGGGTCTGGGCGAGCACGTGTGTCCGGGGCAGCTTTCCCCACAGCCCAAGCAGACATTTCTGAGCACCCCAAGCTCGCCCAGCTGGGGCTCAGAGACGTTGCTGTGACCAGGACAGGGGCACAGGGGTTGGGGATGGACTCTGCCCCCACCAGCTGTGATGTGGGATGATGCCTAGGGTTGGGGTGATGGAAGGGCTGGGGGTGACTACTGAAGTTGGGGTGTGAGTGTAGGGGTGGGATGTGTGGAGCCTCGGGGCTGACCCTGGGCATGAGGTTTGGCCTAGACTCCTATCATTTCTACTCACAGATGGGGAACAGTGGGCTGGGAGGGAAGGGCCAACAGCCTGTCGCCACGGGGATGGTCTCCTAGAGAGGGGGCCTCATGAAGAGTCCTCTCTGGCAGCACACCCTCCCCCCAGGTCGGGGACAGTCCCTCTGGGCAGAGAACCAGAGGTCCCCTGGTCTTGGGCAAGGCCCTCACCTTCTCTGGGCCTCAGGGACCTTGAGGTCTCCATGAAAAGCTGGGTCACCACACTCTGTCCCCTCTGCCTCTCGTCTGGAGACCTGCGGCCTGTGGGTCCAGGGCCTGCTGGGGCCAGGCTGATGCCCTGTCTTCCCCTAGCCCCAAACCTCACCCCAGTGCCCTCCAGGGAGGAAGACCTCTTAGGAACACCTTGACCTTCCAGAAGCGCTGGTGTGGGATGAGGAGACCGGTTCAGGGCTGGTCCACCCTGCCTCACTCTGGCAAGTGAGTCTGTCCCAGCTCCGAGCGTCCTTGGCCTCAGACGTGAAATGGTCTTGCAATCAGGGAATTTCTATTCTTTCTTGCTCTGGTTCCTTCTGTGGTGGTAATGGAGGCATTCCACTGCGGGACAGAGCAGACAGATGTTTAGTGAAGGAAGACCTCCCTGGAAACTTCGTCCTCGAAGGTGCGCCCGGCACCCTGGCTGTTGAGACTCTGGGGGAGGTGGCAGAGAAAGCCTGGGATGCCCAGGTAAAGTTATGACCCCTAAGGACCAGCATCACGTGCCAACATTACCTGTTAGGTTTTCAGACTGATGAGTCTCACTGATTCCATTTTCCAGATGAGGAAACTGAGGTTCAGTCCCGTCAAGTAACTTGCTCAAGTTACGTGGTGGCTCTTGGACTTCCATCCAGGCCTGTGGAACCCAGGGAGCTCCTTTGAAGGGGAGAAGGGAGAAGAGCCCGGAGTGGGGTGGGTGACCATGGGGGAGGGACAGGGCGCACTCTCCTTGGGCTGGGAGAGGGCGTTCCTCCCTGGAAGAGGCCGCCTCTGAAGCTGTTGATCTCTAAATTACAGCGTTGGTGCGCACTGGTTGCTGCGGCAACTGAGTTGTCCTGATCCAGGGAAGTGTATAAACATTGCCACAGATGCACAATTAGATCAGGAAGAAGAATAGAACAGAAAATAGAAACTTTCAGCCTTATATAATTCTGGGCCAAAATGTTACCAGAAACCCAGGCTTGGGCCGGCCCTGCCAGCCGCCGGGGCCCTGGGCAGCACCATCTCTCTCCTGCCGCCTCAGTGGAAGGGAGGGACGGAGGGAGGGTCTGCCCTGCAGTGGCCCAGCTGGTGCGCCTGCCACCCGGTGGGGTGAGGGGCCGCCTCTGCTGAAACAGCTGGGGATGCTGACAGCCAGTCCTGCCTGTCACCAGCTTCCTCCTGCCCCCAGGGGAGGGGAGGAAGGCAGGAGGGCAGCTGGCTCTAACCGAGCACCTACTGTCTCCTCGGGTCCTGTGAGGCAGGGCTTCGATCCCCATTTTACAGATGAAGAAAATGAGGCTCAAAGAGGTGAAATGCGTTGTCCGAAGGTGACACAGCTGGTCAGTGGGTGTGTAACCTCCCCCACTCCGGGTCTCCACACCAGGAACTCATCAATGTTGACAGGACGTGGGAGCTGAAGAGTTAGATACACCTGGGTTTGGACCCACTTACCAGCTGTGTGGCCTTGGGCAGGTCACTTCCCCTCTCTGAGCCCCTCTTCCCTTTCCTGTGACAAGGGAATAGTGACACCTACATAAGAACCAAGCTCAGGATGCCCCTTCCTCTGTCTTTTTTTTTTTCAATTCTCACCTGAGGACATTTTTGCATAGAGCGAGAGGGAGAGAGAGAGGAAGAGAGAGAGAGAGAGAGACACATCGACTGGTTGCCATCCACACAACCCCAACCCTCAGGACAAACTGCAACGGAGGTACGTGTCCTTAGTGGGAACCAAACCCAGGTCTCTCTGGACCGTGGGCCGACGCTCTAACAGCTGAGCCAAACCGGCCAGGGCCCTTCCTCTGTCTTGATCACCATCGGTGTCATCACCCACTGCTACTCCCAACGAGTCTGGGCACAGGACAGGAACTGAGGTGGGGCTGCGTGTCAGCATCGTCCGCAGCTCGGTCCAGTTTGGTAGCTGTTGGCCACGAGCACTTGAATTTGAAATGTGGCTTGTGCAGCTGTGCAACTGAGTTAAATCTTTCATTTTAAGTCCATGTAAAGAACCACAGGTGGCCAGTGGCTGTCATATTGGACAGCACAGGGCGCATCCAGCCCCCAGAAGACCCAGGAAGGCGGAGGCTGAGCCCAGGAGGCGGGCTGGCCAGGGCGCTCACAGCTCCCTCTGCTCGGGGCAACCGGCGGAGGCTGGAGCCAAGATGGGCATCAGGAAGCTCAGTGGGCAAAGGAGGGTTGGAGGGGGCAGCGAGAGGGGCTGGGTCTAGGCTCTGGATCCTGGTGGCCTCAGCTTCTGGCCTGGCAGAGAGACCCCAACCCTGGAGCTGGGCTGGCCGCGGAGGCACTGGCTCAGGTCCCGACCTCCCCTCCCTGCGGTCAGAATCACCTTCTCTGGCGCGGTCTGCCGGCCAGGGCGAGGAGTCTCCCCGCTGGGCCGGGCTCTTCCCTTCCATTCCTTTGGGTGGGCGCCTTGCCGCTGGAGCCTGGCTCCTGGGGGCCCCTGCAGAGGCCGCGGCCACGGCAGCCGCTTGCTCCCAGCTTCTCATGTGTCTGGCTTCTCCCCTCCCCAGGCCTGTGTCTTCCCAGGTGACCACCCCTGCCTCAGGACATGCTGGGGCACAGCCGCAACGGGCAGGCCCACGTGCCCCGGCGGAAACGCCGCAACCGCTTCGTCAAGAAGAACGGCCAGTGCAACGTCTACTTCGCCAACCTGAGCAACAAGTCGCAGCGCTACATGGCGGACATCTTCACCACCTGCGTGGACACGCGCTGGCGCTACATGCTCATGATCTTCTCCGCGGCCTTCCTCATCTCCTGGCTCTTCTTCGGCCTCCTCTTCTGGTGCATCGCCTTCTTCCACGGCGACCTGGAGGCCAGCCCGGTGGTGGCCACGGCGGGGGCCCCGGTGGGCAGCGGCGGGGCAGCGCCAGCCACCCCCAAGCCGTGCATCATGCACGTGAACGGCTTCCTCGGCGCCTTCCTGTTCTCGGTGGAGACGCAGACGACCATCGGCTACGGGTTCCGGTGCGTGACGGAGGAGTGCCCCTTGGCGGTCATCGCCGTGGTGGTGCAGTCCATCGTGGGCTGCGTCATCGACTCCTTCATGATCGGCACCATCATGGCCAAGATGGCGAGGCCCAAGAAGCGGGCGCAGACACTGCTGTTCAGCCACCACGCGGTCATCTCGGTGCGAGATGGCAAGCTCTGCTTGATGTGGCGCGTGGGCAACCTGCGCAAGAGCCACATCGTGGAGGCCCACGTGCGGGCCCAGCTCATCAAGCCCTACATGACCCAGGAGGGCGAGTACCTGCCGTTGGACCAGCGGGACCTCAACGTGGGCTATGACATCGGCCTGGACCGCATCTTCCTGGTGTCGCCCATCATCATCGTCCACGAGATCGATGAGGACAGCCCGCTGTACGGCATGGGCAAGGAGGAGCTGGAGTCTGAGGACTTCGAGATCGTGGTCATCCTGGAGGGCATGGTGGAGGCCACCGCCATGACCACCCAGGCCCGCAGCTCCTACCTGGCCAGCGAGATCCTGTGGGGCCACCGCTTTGAGCCCGTGGTCTTCGAGGAGAAGAGCCACTACAAGGTGGACTACTCGCGCTTCCACAAGACCTACGAGGTGGCCGGCACGCCCTGCTGCTCCGCCCGGGAGCTGCAGGAGAGCAAGATCACCGTGCTGCCCGCCCCGCCGCCCCCGCCCAGTGCCTTCTGCTACGAGAATGAGCTGGCCCTCATGAGCCAGGAGGAAGAGGAGATGGAGGAGGAGGCGGCGGCTGCGGCTGTGGCCGCCGGCCTGGGTCTGGAGGCAGGTTCCAAGGAGGAGGCGGGCATCATCCGAATGCTCGAGCTTGGCAGCCACCTGGATCTGGAGCGCATGCAAGCCAGCCTCCCACTGGACAACATCTCCTACCGCAGGGAGTCGGCCATCTGACCTCCAGGCCCCTCATCGCCTCCCGCTAGAGCCTCTGCTGGGGGGGAGATGCCAGGACGCCCCCTCCACACTCAGGGCAGAGCTGACCCTGGCTCCATGGACCTTCTGGAGGGAGGTGGGTGCTTCACAACTGGGGGACCCCTTCCTAGTGACTCTAGAACTCAGGCCTGGGAAGGGACCCAGAAAACCCTCAGCCCTGTCAACCCGAGTTCCCCAACGCCTACCTGCTGGTGGTGCGGGGACCCCAGCCTCACCACACTTTCCCCACTGACCCTCAAAGACGTGCCCCCTTTGTTCTCAGAACCTTGGGGAAAGCCGCTGGACTCTGGAGGGTGGGCTTCGTAGGGTCCGGGGTGGGCAGGGGTTCGTTTTGGGGGAGGGAGGGGTGTGCGTTTCTTTTGCATGACTGTGATCTGTTGCTCATGACTTTCTTTTGTAAATATCTATAAATGGGGAGAGATGGAGGCACCGAATCCACTTTCTGCCATTTGTACCTGCAGGACGAGGAGGCGCAGCCCCTCTGTCCCCGCCCCCTCCTGCCCATCAAGCCTCTTCCCCTGCGCAGCTGGCCGGTCCCTCAGAGCCTCAGAGCCTCAGAGCCATCTTGGCCCTGGATGGCGTTGGTGTGGGTGCAGAGGGGGGACCCAAGGGACAGGACAAAGGCCATCCCTCCCTGTGGTTTCTCCACGCCCCCAGGCCCAACTCAGATTGACAATGGAGTTTGTAACTATATATTTTTAATAAAGTATATGGTCCATTGGGGGGTAGATTGGTTGAAGATGGAGAGTTGGGAAGAAGAGATACAGAGAGAGATGATGTAAGTGTGTCTGCATGTGCTATGTGTGTGGTATGTATATGTGTATGGTGTGTATGTATGGTGTGTGTGCGTGTGTGTGCGTGTGTGTGCGTGTGCTGTGCGTATGGTACTTATGTCTATATGATGTGTATGTATGGTGTGTGTTCATGTGCGATGTGTATATATGTATGTGTATGGTATGTGTGTGCTATGCATGTATGTGTTTTGTGCATGGTATACTATGTATACTGTATGTGGTGTGTTTGTGTGTGTGTATGTTTGTGCCCCTTTTTGAGACACTGACCCTTGGAGGGAACTTTGTCACCTGCCATTCTCCTTCCTGGGAGCCAGTGGGGAAGATTCTGAGTGGGCCTCAGAGGCTTGAATGGGTTTGAGTCAGAGCTTTGCTCCTTCCTAGCTGCGTGGCTGTCAGCAAGTTGTCTGTCAGTTTGGCCTCCGTTCATCGTCTGTAGAATGGGATGAACCATCCCTCCCTCCCAAGAGATGATGGATGGGAGAATCTTGTGTGGATGTCAGCCAACCCTTTATAACTCAGGGGAAGTGGGAAGGGCCCACTGATTCACACCCCACACGCATGCACATACACACACGGGGTGGGGCTGACCAAGTTGGCCGTGGGACCCTGGTGGGAAGGGCTCTGGGAGCAGCTGGGAAACCTGGTCACAGTTACACGTGGTCTCTGTCTCGCTGTGGGGCCGTGGTAAGTCCTCTTCTCTAGGCCTCAGTTACCCTGTGCTGTGTAGCAAACCACCCCACAACTTAGACAACAAGGGTTTCTTCTTCTTCTTTTTTTTTTTTTTTGTATGTGTCCTTAGCGGGAACCAAACCTGAGACTCTCTGGTCCGCAGGCCGACGCTCCAACCGCTGAGCCAAACAGGCCAGGGCACAAGGGTTTCTTCTTTCTCAAGCTTTTTTGGGTGGGCTGGGTGGCTCCTTGTCTGGTTTCTTCTGGGCTCACCCCAACAATTATGCTCAGCTGGGATGGCACCTCGGCTCCAAGGTCCAAGATGGCCTCACCCATGTCAGGCAGTTGGTGTGGCTGTCAGCCAGGGGGCCTTGTTCTCCTCCAGGGGCCTCTTCTCCTACATCAAGTCCCTTCACGTGTTTCAGGGCAGCCACCTAAGAGGGTGAAGGCAGAAGCTGCAAGGTCTCTTGAGCCTAGCCTTGAACTTGTATACCATCACCTCCAGTGCATTCTGTTAGCCAAGGTCATGAGGCCAACCCAGATTCAAAGGTGAGAAGTTGGGCTCCACCCTTTGGGAGTCACATTGCCGAGGGCACAGGCACCAGGATGGAACCCTGGCTATAACTTGGTAGTCTATCCCGGAACCTTTGAGTTGAGGGTTACTTCCAGCTCTAAGTCTCTTCTACAGCCAACTGCATCCAGCCTCAGTGTATGAGGAAGCAGAGGGCACTCTCTTCGGGCTCAGGAACCTTCTGTGCGAAGGTGCCAGCAACCTCAGGAAACACAGGGACCAACAGGCAGGCTCGCCCACTGTGAAGCACCGAGCACCGCCTTGTGAATGGCCACGTTCCATCCGCACTGGCAACACGGCTGCCATCTGGATAAATCGCTGTGCATCCCAGGTGCTCTGACAGTTTAGTAAAAGAACCTGACGTGTCTTTCCTAGAGATAGAGGCCACCTGGGACCCAAGTCCCCCAACAGATAAGTCATCACAATGTCTCCCATTTGCATTACATCTTTTACATCTGTTAGTTCACCGAATTCCTACCAAACTCCAAGAGATAGGTAGGACAAGGACTTGGCCTCAGATGAGGACATGGAGGCCCAGAATTAAGGGGCCAGCTTGAACCAAGGTGGCAACTGTCAGCTTCCCCTTCACGCCCATCCTCCCTCTGGCAGGGGCTCAGTGAGCTGCCCGGCCGCCAATGCTCTCAGAAGGGCCCCTGGTGCCCTTCTGCCAGGTGGGAGCACCGCAGGATCTCACCCCCACCCTGTGGCTCATCAGAGATGCCCTTCCGCTCAGCCCTGCGGGCCCTGGGAGGAGCTCGTCGGGCTCAGGCTCTCCTGTCGGCTTCGTGCTCGGTGATGCCTTGGCACGCAGGTGAGCAGCCGTGACTACAGACCTCAGGCTCAGGCACTCAGCCTTCAACCCGGACGCGTCTCAGAGGTCGCTCAGCCTCCCCCAGGGCAAGGGGGAGAGAGGACACACAGGGCCCACCCAAGAGGGCCTCCCATCCAGAGTGATATGGGAGCACTTCAAGGTCCCTCCCAAACACTTCCTCGTCACCAGTCTGCCACTTGCTCAGACACCAGTGACGGTGACTCCTCCAGGAGGCTGACCTGGGGGACACAGGAGAGGCCCGTTTTGACAAGAGCCCAAAGCAAGGACTTTCTGGGATGCCACAGCGAAGTGCCAGTGTCAGCACTGAGGGTGGGCACGAGGAGGGCACAGGGGAGGGGCCTCGGGTTCGGAGAGGCGAGCACAGCTGCAGGGAGGCTGGGAGGCTCGGCTGCACAGCCCTGCTCCCTCGGCTCCTGTTGACTCACCCTCCTGCTCCCACCTGTTCCCCTTCCACAGCCCTCCCACCTGCCTCCCCCACCTCTGCTCTGATCTCTCACTGCAGGCTCCTGGCGGCGCTGAAAGGGGGGATCACTGTATCTGGAGGTGTGAGAGCTTAGCTATCCCAGTGCTTGGGATGATGGAAACGGACTGGCTGGAGGGGTCCCTTCCTCACCCTGCCCTTCGTCCCTGCCCTCTCTTTCCTCTTCAGTCACAGCCCAGGGGAGGGCGGGCAGCAGGACAGAGGAAGGGGTGCGGTGGGAGAAAGGGAGGGAAGGGGAGGAGGAGGGTGTGGTCTAACGAAGCTGGAAACCTTGCCCTTATCTTGCTTAAAATCCCACTATTCAGACCTAGTTCTGGTAGGTTCACCTTTGCTTCCTTTCCACCGAGTCTGAAACCCTATTTTCCTTGTGAACTCAGACTGCTTAAAGAAAGAGAGAAAAGAACCTAGAAGGCAGTCAACTCAGGTGCTTCACCTGGTCAACCCTCGCCTTCTCTTTGTTAGTCCTTATGCCGCAGGGCTGTGCTCGGGTCCTCCTTCCCATTCTGGCTTTTCTCCCTGTGGCTTTTTCTGGGTACCGACTTCTCTTGGTACTGATGGATTCTACATATTTTCTATTGTTAATGGCAACATAACGTTCATAGAGGCATGGAGCTCAGCGGACCAGCCCCTCATTTACAGGTGGGAAACAGGCCCAGAGGGAGTAACCGGGAACCCCATCCCCCGGGTCCCTGCCCTTCCCACCGCTGCACACAGAACCAGCTGCATCATTTCTGGGGTCCGTTGCAACGTGAAAATGTGAGCCCCTTATTCAAAAGTTGGGAAAACCGTGTCATTTAAGGCACTAAACATTCAGCGTTTCCTGCCTCAGCCTCCCTCTGCTTGTGTGCGAGCCGCGCTGCCCCTTGGACTTCACCTGCAAAACGCAAGTTCAAAGAGAAAATTAAGAATTTCAGCCCTGGCCGGTTTGGCTCAGCGGTTAGAGCGTCGGCCTGCGGTCCAGAGAGACCCGGGTTCGGTTCCCGTTAAGGGCATGTATCTCAGTTGCAGTTTGTCCCCGGCCCTGGTTGGTCATGCGGGTGGCAGCCATTCGATGTGTTCCTTTCACATCGATGTTTCTCTCTCTCTCTCTTCCTCTCTCTCCCTCCCACTCTACCTGAACAAAAAATGGAAAAATGTCCTCAGGTGAGGATAAAAAAAAAAAAAAAATTTTTCAACAATGTCACTCCAATACACTCAATTAAAAAAGAATTCTAATCCCCTGGCAGGTTTGGCTCAGCGGTTAGAGTGTCAACCCTCAGACCGAAGGTTCTCGGGTTCAATTCCCAGTCACGGGCACATACCTGGGTTGCAGGTTCGATCCCGGTTGGGGGATTGGGGCTATGTGGTCAGGGGCCTGCGGGAGGCAACCAGTTAATGTGCCTCTCTCACATCGACATTTCTCTCTTTCTTTCTCCCTCCCTTACACTCTCTCTAAAGATCAATGGAGCCCTGGCCGGTTTGGCTCAGCAGTTAGAGCGTCGGCCTGCGGTTGAGAGGCCCGGGTTCGGTTTCCGCTAAGGGCGTGTACCTCGGTTGCAGTTTGTCCCCGGCCCTGGTTGGTCGTGCGGGTGGCAGCCACTCGATGTGTCCCTTTCACGTCCATGTTTCTCTCTTTCTCTCCCTCCCACTCTATGTCCCTCTCTATCTGAACAAAAAGTGGAAAAATGTCCTCGGTGAGGATAAAAAAAAAAAAATCAATGGAAAAATACCTTCGGGTGAGGATAAAAAAAGAATTTGAGACGGAGCATTAAACCAAGCCCAGGGCCCTTCCACGAAGCCGGCCCTCTGATGAGCTCTGTCGGCCAATTTCCCTCGTGTCCCCAGATCCTACCTTCCGTTCTGACACGCGGCGCTGTGGCGAGCATCTTCGTGCAGTTGTTTGTTTTGGTTGTTTCCCTTTATTTCCTTCTTGTGGCTGTTGGCTCAGCCTAAGTACTAACAGAATTCCAGGCTACGTTTGCCGGACTCTCAAAGTGCAACTCCCCAGCCTCTTCCCAGAGCGCAGCGTAGACTAGGGTCCAAGGACTGGAAGAGGGAAAAGTTTCAAACCCAGCTCGCCCTCCAAGGTCCTCCAGGGGTTGCCT